AATTATATATATAAAAAAATATATATAATTTGTTATAAATTTAAATTAAATATAATTATCTTTTTCATATCATTCAGATATATATACCGATCTTAAATTCGTCACAGTCAATATAAAACTTAGAAATAAATTATTCATTAATTAATATCGGATAAAGTGCTCGTAAGAGTTAAGGAATTTTCTCGATAGTAGTTGCTTGCTTTGTGCTATGAATCCTGCATTTAGATATTATTTCTTTGTTAGCCTGATTAATCTTTCATTCTTCAGTAGAATAAAATGCAAAATATCATTTTTCAATTACAATTCATTCACTTATCATCATAATACACACAGGATTGTATATCTTTTATGCTTGCTCTTAATTCACAAAAATTCAATATATATGCGTGTGTGTTGTATGTCTGTATACATATATATATTTTCAAAGAAAAAATTTCTTATTCGATCATTACATAATTAAAACGCATATTATTATTAGCACGTGATATTGTACAATGTGTGCTTGTCCGTCTTCTTCCTTTAATATTACATTGATGTGACGGTTGAAAAATGTATGCTTGCGATCTCGGCGACGGTTTTAAAGCAGAGTGTTTTAGACTATCATACTATATGTATAGTTTTAAAGCTATACATGTATAATATATAATAAAACATTATATTTAATAGAAGACACAGAATCAATCTTCTTGGCAACGAATAAACGTGAAATTAAAACGATTCCTTCTAATCTATTGGTAAATTGAATCATTAAAATGATTATATTTAATTTGATACTAAAAAAATTTTTATTTTAGAAATTTGACTAAATTTATAATAATAATTATAAATCAATATATTTAGAGTTTATTGTATTTCATTCTTTTCAAAATATATTTAATACAATATATACTAAAACTAATATAAAAATCGAAACGAGAAGAGATGCAAGAATTTGCGGACAATGACCAAGTTTATCAGTGATGACGAAATAGATGAAAAAAACATAGTCCAGAATACTCTGTATATAAATATATATATCAAATTTCTCTCTTGATTGAAATAGCACGAGATCGCATTTTTATTTTCTAGTATCACTTAGATATTAATTTATTTTTAGTTTTTTTTACTTACTGCACATTCTTTGCACCCAAAATGTAGCACATTTTAGGTTTAATATATTTTTTTCATTTTATCGAATAAATTGTGGATATACGTAAAACACACATAAAGAACAACATTACTCAGCATCATCTTACTTAACTAATTAATATTAGCCTTTGTTACATTTCAGTTTTTGTCATCAGTCCAAGTTGCACAACATTTTATGTACATGTATCACTCAGCTCCAGCAAATTTGCCTATTCAGATATTCACAATTTGTTCATCTCGTGATGTGAATTAACTTTTTTAAATCTCTCTTTCGCAGTATCATAAGTCAATATATATGTATATGTGTACATGTGTATGTATCCTCTCATTCGATATTTCAAGCATATGTACTTACAGTTCTAAAGCAGTCTTGGAAATTTTTCTGGATATTAGGCATATTGTTGGAAAATTTGTACATTAGCTTTTAACACTCTGTGTATGAAATTAACTAAATCAAAAACAATGCAAAAATAAATGTTTTAACAAATACTATAGGAATAATGGTAAATGCTAAAAACTATCATGTTTCCATTGTCAGCTTTATCGGTTGTATAAATTAGAAAAAAAAAAAATTTCTTTTGGAGCTCATTCATATATACGTATTTTATATATACATATAATGTATCTAAAGCAATTATATATATTTTGTTTAAAAATGTGTTACATTTCTATAAAATAAAATATTTTGTGTCAAGTCTTTAATAGCAAGCACAAATTAAAATTTTATATTGCATCTTCTGGCATTATCTTTTTTTCTATCCAATATATATAAAGTATATATTGCATTATAAACATGCTTATAATTCAACAAAATTAAATTATGTGTAACTTTATAAAATATTTAGAAAGTAATGTTTTTATATATAAAGCGCTTTTCTGCGATTTTTGGCTTCATTTTGCCCATGTAGATACAAATAATTTATATGAACAATATGCTTGAAACTTAATGTTCAAGAATCGCATGATACACATCCAGGTTATAATTCTTTATACATCAAGGATTAACATTGGGCATGAAGTGCAGACTGGTAAATATACATAAATCAAATATTTATTATACAGTTACTACTACTTACATTGACAACCGAAAAGCTTATTGAAAGTATTTTAAAGGGAACTGATTTCTTAAAGAAATTATGTGTTTCTGTTTAATTCAAGTATGATTGTGTTTTACAATCGTTACAAATATACATATATATACAAACTAAATACTATTTCTGTCGAACTGGATAAAGTTTCATAGTGCCTGACCCCCTCGAAGCATAGGTCTCTCTATCGCACAACAGGCGATAAGAAACGTACAAATGGCAAAACAAAGCGCTCGGTTGTTCTTGTGCGGTACATCATGTACTCTTTGTCTTCTTCAAATCTGATCTTACAACGCATATTGTAAGTTCCTTTTTAACAGATTTACCAGATAATTGTAATCACTGTAGTCACAGTTTAACTACGACATTGCAGTATTACCGAGTATCTAAGCATATGCTTAGAGAACTCCTATATCTGTAAATCAGTTGAATTTGGCTATCTATAGCCAAATTCTCTTAGTTTATTCATAATTATCCATGAGATTATTTTCCCTAGTGCACAAGGTGTTTCCAGACAAGTGGAATGGACTATGATTCGTTTAATATCTGTAACTTTTCTTTACGCATTATATAGTACATCGTGCTACATCATATTATGCCACAATACTACCACTGTTCGTTTCATTAAAGAAAGTTCATTCTTCCTTTGTTTTACTGACATTCGACCGATATAATTTACTCAGTTTTCATTCAGACCCTATTTATGTTTTGCATACTATACACAGACCTATGAATGAGTGCCCACCACAAATTTCCTTTAAAAGCACTTATTGTTGTGTCCGTTCCTTAGCAAGAGCTCAATCTATGTCTCTTTCAAAAATGAGAGGATAGATCTGTTTTTACATGTAGGAGGGTCGTAAAATGATAATAGTAATTAAAAATCACAAATGTCTTGTTCTTTCCAAGTTTGCCTACTATGACAATCGTTGTCGTTTTGGGGAGGGACTTGACTCCGAATCGTCATCGTCCTCATCTGAATCTCCTTCATAATCGACTAATCCCTGAAAATTAAATTGCTAAATTTTAATTTCATACGAAACCTACAGATTACTATAAGATTTGTCTGTATATAAATTGCTATTTACAAATCAACTTAATTACTATGTCAATAGGTGACTTTGAGTATCAATTAACTTAGTGGCATATAAAAAAAAATATGTTACTACTACATTTATATTGTACTACTAAAATATTCCAAATATGTATATATATCTTTTTTGGAAGATTTACCTTTTTGAATAGTGCAGTTCCTGTTTTTTCCACAGTTCCGATAGCCGGAGTAGGATTTATGTCCGAAGCAATTGGCGATTCATTCGTTGTTGACGAACTATTATTGATTTGCGGTTGTTGCGAGGTAATGTTATTATTAGAAGTATTGTTGTTTAACACAGACTGCTGTTGCTGTTGCTGCTGATGACTCTTTGAATCTGCAAGAGCAAAATTAAGTGCAAAATTTGAAAATAACGATTGTTTCTTGACAGAAACCGGAAGTATAACATCTGTTGCTATCGCGGGTACTACCGCCTTACCCTCATCATACTCCTCCTCTTCGTTAAACCATAGTTCTTCCTCCTCCTCTAGCTGCCTCTGGTCTCTTCGGTACCGACTATTCCGCAAAATTGATGGAACACTACGCATAAAAAAAAAGTTATTTTAATACATTACATCTATTATGACATATAGAAATAATTGTCCCGACAGTTTCTGTATTGGTACATTTATTATATCATGTAACATATTCTACACAATTTTGTTCTTCATTTTATTTTTGTTATAACAAAAATATAGAAAATGTACATTTCGTAATGTATATACCTGTCAATTGTGGTTCTATCACGATCTTTTAATTTGTCTTGATGTTGTTCGTACCTTAACTTCAATGCCTTAAATGTTTGTACATAATCAATTGCTTCCAGTTCCTTTGAAAAGTTTTCAACAACATGTGAACATAGTGACTTGATATCCTCCTAGAACATTACAACAAAATGTGTAAATAAAAGTAATAAAAACTCGATTTTACCTGTAATCTCTATTAATTGTAAGCACTATCACACTTACCAATTTGATAAACTCAAACATTTCCAATATAGCTGAATCCAGAAGATTGTATCTACCATTGTTTCTTACAAATGCATCGAATACAGGGGCAAATAAATTACCCTTAATTATATATCTATTATAAAACTCGTCCTTTAGAGCTATAATTTTCCTCATAAACCTTAGTGCACATAGTACTAGAAATGTGTGTGTTGATTTCATTAAAACCAATATTCTTCTAAGTAAATCTTTGTTCAATATGCAGTTCTTAATGTGGTATGTGTGGTGTTCCACACAGAATGATAACAGCTCCAAGATCAATCCCAAAAGTTGTACTGTTCTATAATCCTCTCTTGCAGGTCGTTCTCCGATTGTGTTTGCTAGGAGAGGCGCTATTAAAGTACCAATACTATTCTTGTAAAAGTAATTTAAGAAATCAGTCTTTTCTGATTTGTTAACAGAAGCCAACATGTTCTCTGGATCCAGAAGTAAACGTAGCACACCAGCCAACTGGACTGCACCGCCCAACTCAGGATCGCTATCTCCGACAAGTTGAGCAACTATTACATTCACTAACATTTGGTCCTGTTCTGTGTTATTTATCTGTTGTAATGTATAATCTCGTACAACACTTGGAGAATATTCCACGATATAAGTCAATATATCTATACTGGCCGTTTTTGTCTGCGCATCGTTCATCGCTAAAGTGATTTCTAAAGCGGGAAGTATACCAAGCTTTCCCTTGCGGCTGAAGATTTTGCGAAAAATTGCAAAATTCCTTTAAAAAAAGAACCAAATCGCGTCTCTTGCTATCTAAGGTCGCTTCGTCTGTTAACTGACGAAAAAGTTCAGTAAGAAATTTCTCATCATCCTGTATCAAAGTCACTATTTCAACTTTATTGAAGAATATAAAACTACTCAATGTACTCAACATGTTATCCTCGAATACACTCGGGGTTGGCAGCACTACATCTTGAATGTATTGAACTCTGTACGTTTGATGGATCTTAGCTAACAGTTCGGTATTTGTGATAGGAATTGCTTGTTTAAATCTGGCTAACTGTCGCAGGTATTCTCTATGCCTCTTTGGCTGAGATAACGTTGGCTCGTATTCCAAACATCCAACAACATCAAAAATTGTATCATCGCTGAACATAACTTCAAACAATGCATTCTTATTAAGTAGGAAAATATTTTTGAATATATCATAAAGATGATGCAATCCCTCAATGTTCTCTAAATCTTCACACGTACGAAAAAGATTTAGCAATTTCTTAATATAACCTTCGGATTCTAGTGCTACTGCTAATTTTTCTTTTCTCATTGGGGATGTTAAACAATTTTCTATGAGCTCGTTAATATCTTCCAATCGACTAAGTTCACACGGAGGTAATTCGATAGGTGGTGCTGCATCTGACATATCATCAAACCGTTCATCTTCAGATTCCTCCACAATGTCTTGTGTAATTTCTACAGATGGATCCTTGCCTTGAACTTGACAAATCTTTTCCCATATTTCGTCACAGCCAGCCTTTTCTTGAAAACTTAGGGCTAAGTCGAAATTATCTCCTTCAGACCATACTATTAAAGTGTCCTAAAATCATACAACAATTTACTTGTATATATCTATGTATATACTAATCCTCCTTTTATTGCTTTTCTATATCATGCTACATAAATTATATATCCACTATGTTAATATTTACAATATAAAAAAAAATCTGGTTTACAAATGGTTTATAAAAGTATCAAATATTCTATGGCGAATAATATTACAAATCATTTTCTTATTTCAAATTTTATCAAGAAATTAAAGAAATATGTTATTTTTTAAAGGAATATATTATTTTTATTTTTCTAACATAAAACTGACACCGTTTTATAGTTTTATTATTCACAAATATAAATATTTACAACTTTTGTAAATCACAGAAGATTTGCATTAGCCATATACCATGGTAGCATAACACGTATGATTGACGATATGAATATGACAAAGACAAAATATATAGAAAATCATAAGGACCTCTTTATAATACAGTCGTAACAAAAGCAAATCAATAAAATTCTTCAATCGCTTATTACCTGTTGTTTCTGATATGCTGTATCAGGTTGTATTCTACTCTCCAGTAAAACAGAGCCATCGCTTTCCGCTCTTACTAAAAGAGAAATCCCCTTTAATCTATCTACATAGGAGGAGGAAACATGGCCTGTGCCACGATCATCCCATTGTCTATCTGCATTAAGAGCATACAATTTCACTCTCCTACGTGTATCCGTCATATTGTAAAACTATTTAGTGCACTTTCTCTCTGATATCACCAACTATTCTGCATGCCTTTCCGAATTAGCTCAATCTTTGGCTCTCTCAGCGATTATCTCTCTATAGGAAACCTTCAGATATTTAACCAATCAATGAGTGGACAAAAACGGAGATATGTTAAATTTCCACATGCCCTTATACAATTCATCAAGGTTTCTTGTTATTGCATCCTATGTATAGTATAAACAAAATGTGCTTGGTATATCAATGTCTTTATCGAAAGACACACGCGCGCTGCGTGAGACTAGTGTTTCAGTCGGAACCTGCGTGTGACGGATAACGAAACACCAAGTTTTATACACCAGTCGATTTCGGCGTCAATCGGTCGAGGAAACGCGTGTTTCGGCAGACTTGGAGCATAGCATGAGCAATGGTAGTTCCGCACTTCCCCGGCCTTTCTCGTGGCTTCGCCGAATTATCTATGACGCTGAATGTGCACGACGCACCGTTCTCTTTACGCAAATTACCCCCCGGCGATGCTCGTGGTGCGTCTCCTAATGAAAAACTCTCCCTGAAAGAGACGAGTGCGCGCGGGAAACGTCCGCACGACGTACGTACTTGCACTCTCACGTGTAGCGTTCGCGACGTGTTCGAGACACACCGGTCTTAGATACGAGACACCCGATCGGCTTGCGGATGTCGCGATTTTACTTCGATAGGCGATACTCCCCGTCGACGGCGAACGCCGTGTGTACGATTCTCGTTGCTGTGTACGATTCTTCCCGCGGCGGCGGCGGCGAACGTAGAGAGCCCGAACGATAGAGGCTACCTCCGCGATGCGGCTGCTCATAGGAACACGATTATCTCACGCGAATACCCGTGACAGTCGTCGCCGGCTCGCATCGCCGTTCGTTCCGCGTTTCCCCTAAGCTATATCACTCTAAAATTGACATAGGCAACCCACAAGCAGCCACAACACTACATTCCGCCATGATAGATCATAACAACGCGCCACGGGGTCTCCCGCATACGACACAAGGATGCTGGCGCGAATTTCGAACGGTTCAACGATTCAACGACCCTCGTTCAACGATTATATGGCGGATACACTCTTATCGAGCTTGGAACGATATCATAACCGTACCGATCGAGTCGTTTATGACATCGCGATAGAGTATATAATCGTGGTCGCCGATTCTATATATACGGATATATCGATGGGTCGACGATACAAAAGTCGGAGAAATCTAGATCGCGACGATGATAACGATGTCGAGGTCACGCCGTCGGTAACGCGAGAAGTGGTACGTTCGGTAAACGTTCTTGCCAATTCTATGCGATTTCTTTTTTATTTCCTGTGCGTTTGAGAAACGCCATGCTTCCTTCTCTTCGACGCCGTGCGAATGAATCTTTTTCGGAACACAGAGAATCCAACGACAGATTCGACTCGATCGCTGATGATGTCATGATTCAAAGATGGCCGAGCGACTTTCGGAAAGTGACGACTTTGAAATGTTAAAATGCGGTGAACGTCATAAAATGCATATAAAAATATATTAATCGAAAAATTTGACCAGTTTTTTTTTTTTTTTTTTTTCGAATAATATCAAATGATATTTCTTTCCTTTGAAAACAGAGCAATAATAATACTAATTGGATTGCGGCCTATTTTCGAATTATGACAAATTATTAACGATTCTCGATAATGGAAAAATATAACAGATTATTTTTTTATTATTACCTTCATCCAATATGTAAATTGGATATATACAATATGAAATTTAACATTCAATACTTGTTATATTCTTCTAAGATTCTGAATATGTAATTTTGAGATTTACTGTATTATTTAAGTTTGCAACTTGACAGTTCAATGCAGTGTATTCTAGTCCTCTCATTTTCATGTTTTTTTTTTTTTTTTTTTTACAATGTGCGATAAAATAATTTTACTAATTGTAAGATAAGATATAATTGTATATATATGACACACACATAACACACGCACACATGATAATATAGAAAAAGACAGAATGTACAAGATTATAAAAATTTATATGAGTATATAATACATGTTGTTATTTCATCCAAATATCGATATTGGATGGACGAATCGTTTTTTTTTTTACCGTAGAAAGAGACAAATTAATTAAATGGATATTAAATGATGCGATGTATTTGCGAGTATTATTAGATGAAAATCAGTCTAATTAATTTATCGAAAAATTCGCTGTATTTTAATGTGCAACGAGTCCCGGTGTCAGATATATATATTCTGTTTTACGAAACGAAGAGCGTGCGCATTTCGAGATGTTAAAATGAGGTTATAAATATACTTTTCGAGTGATCAATAAGACTTGATAGACAATTTATGCCAGATGCATTTTTGTCTCATATCGCGTGTTATACAGCTTTTTAATTTTTTCACATCGCACAATCGCATTTGTTATTAGATCGATAGTTTTCTCACAAATGTGTCAAATATAAAAATGTGATTCTTTTTAAGAAAGAGTAATGTATTTCTAATAATTATACATACATGCTCATAGCAAGAAAAAGAATAACATATAATATATTTGATAAAAATAAATGACAATACATTTTCTATGACAATAAATCATTTCTTTCTATTAATATCCACCTTATTTTTCACATTGCTATTGAGATAATTGTAAAAAAAAGTTAGTTATAAAAATGCATATATATAATTTAAAATTCTATTGAAAAAATTTATGTTATAAATATACATATTTGAAGAGAAAAATAATATATTCTTGTGAAAATTTTACTTTAATGTATAGTTATACTTATCCTGTGCGCAATATTTTAAAATCCTATCTTTTATTTAAGAATTTACTTGTTTGCATATATAATCGAATGCCATACTAGAATAACAAGAATATTGATGTTATTTATAGGAAAGGAATTTAAAATCATATTTATTCAAATCAAGTTTAAGTTTATATCTTTGTGTTTCTCATATATATAATTTTACAAGCATATAGTAAATAATGGATTTTTACAAAAAAAAAAGAAAAAGGATTATATGTTATTAATAAATAATTATATAGTATATTTTTTATATATAGTATAATATAATATAAT